GAGCATATTCAATTCCAAAAGGAAAGCATCTGGCAGCATACCAAGGTAACAGCTATGCTATCTGCATAGAACCCATATGACACAGCCAGCCAAGGAGGGGGAAACATGAAAGCAAACCCACTGAGGATACCAGTGCTTCAGGACAACAGAATAGCTAGGAAAACTTATACACACAGACTAAAATAATGAAAAATGTCCACCCACATGTTGACAATGGAAAAACATATGGGAACAATAAATACCTTATCTCTGGGAAAATTCATCTCCACAGCAAAACCAAAACAGAATACAACATGATCCAAGAAGGCAACAATGACTGCTCACAGATCACAGCAATTCAGAGGAGGCAGTTACAGGCAGGTGAGAGGCAGAATAACTTCCTGACTTCAAAGAAGATTTTGCTTTCCTGTTTTCTATTTTGCACATCATGTATGTATTTTATTAATTAGCTCTTGGATGAGATTTTATCTTTAATTTCTAATAAAAGGTGAACAGGCATAAAGCAGCAGACACAGTCACCACTATTCTTAAGACACCATGTTTACACTAGTGGCTCAAATCAGAAGAGATGTCTTTTCCTTGGATGGCAGTGTCACAATCTCATGGTGCACTAATGATTAGCAGCACTTTAGAAAGGGGCTGGTAGCTGGAACTCCTGACATCCCCTTACTCTGCATCATGCAGTTTCCAAAACTCCAATTTGTTACAAGCACAAGATTTTATTATATTTGTAACCAAGTCTCAAGACTTTGTAAAACCTTTTATACCTACAAATGAAAAACATAAAACAAACAACAGGGATTATAGAATTAGGGAACCCACAGTTCCTGTGAGCAGCCAGAAATGATCCTGCACTGTACAATCAGATGCAGTTACATGCACTAAGCTATGGAAAGTAGCCCTTACACGTTATTCATTTCTCTGACTCTCTTAAAAAGAAAAACTGTAACACACATCTGTGACCTAGCAACAAAATGGTTTGAAATACTTTCCAGATCACTGAACTGTGCAATACCTTTAAAAATGGGATGACAAAAGGTCGCAGTGGGAAGTTAGTAGCTTCTTGCAGTTTGGAATGAAATTCTTCAATTGTCAAAGTAGAATTCTGTTGAGAAAAAAAAAATTCTGTCTTGGTGACAAAATACTGAAAACACTTAGCAAGAGAAACAGTAACTGAAGAACCCTGAATTTGCTTAACAACTTGATATTGGTGAGAGAATTAAGAAAAGCATGCCGCATATTAAATTATTACCTTATTAAAATACACAAAGGAAAGCACAAGCATCTCAGACACTCAGTGCCTGTTGCTTAGAGTATAATTTAAGCTCTCAAGTGTAAAGCATGCAAAGGTTTTTCATTTCAAACATCAGTTAAAGCTCCTTTTATAACATTTTTTTTATTTCACATTTTTCTACTGTTTTCTTTTTAAAGAGGACTGTTTACTATGTTCTAGGCTGTGTAAGAAAGTCTTCACTTTAGAGATGAAGCCATAATCATGAACTCCACAAACCGGCAGGGTTGACCAAAGGAATAGCATATGTGGATTTTCCCAAGGAAAAATCCTAATCTGCTCCTAAGATCTCAAATGAAGTTAGAAATCAACTGTAAATAACAGTGGGAAAGAAGTTTTTATCTGAAAATCAGTGGAATGTGGATGTTCCCAAAGCCACCTTCAGCTTGTTTACTAGTTCCCCCTTCCAAAGAGAACCATGTGACAAGCAAAGCCCCATTAAACTTTTTCTTTGAATATGGAAACAAATGGAGAGCAAGAGTTACTAATGTTATACTGCCTACATTAAAATTCCCTTTGACACAGAACCAAGTGAAGGAGCATCGACTGCTGTCAGGTAGAGGCTTTTGAAGATACAAGCAGATTGTGAAATCATCCCTCAGCCTCTGTGCTAAACAGTGCTGTCAGTCTTTGCTCCAAATGAAATCAATGGCAACTGCAGCTGCTCAGAACAGATGTAAATTAGAGCACCACAATAGCATCTTCCCCAGTACATCCAATTATTGCTGAAGGAAATAGATGGGAGACAACAAATGTCTGGCAGAGAGAGGACTTTACTGGGAGTAAAAAGAACCCTGGGCCAGATTTCAGTTTGCATGTAAAAGGGCAGCCCAAGTTGACAGACCTAGGTAAGAAAGAGCTGAAATTTTCATTAAGCCATACCATCAAATAGGGATAACCTTATCAATAAAGCGACTTAAGTAGCAGCAGTGCCTTGTTGGGTTCATAATTGTTTGGTTCAATGACACTGAGAAAGGGTTTTGCACTGCATAACTGCAGTCCAAACACACTCAGCTCACCCTTTTAACCATTGACATATATGCAGGCCTCTCTCCTTTCCCCACCCAACTAAACTAGGCAAGTCAAACCATATTTTACTACATCACAGGATTCAAGGTATGACTACATTAGGGGTAGAGGATCCAGTAGAGGACTAAAACCCTCTCGCACCATTACACCATAACAATATACTGGCAAAAATAGTCAAGGCTATGCCTAGAAGGGAATAGCTGCCATTTGTGGGAAGCTAGTCAGGCTACTCATGTGAGCTCTGTCAGCAAGAGCTGGAGCTTCACTCTTGCATGGTTGGTATCCCTAAAGCACAATGAATGCAGTGCATGTGACCCATTCATTTATGAAATAAACACATCAAGCAAGGAAGAGGGAAAAGAACAGAAAAAATACTTGCTTACCACAAGTCCTAGCACAAGGGTACGCACTCTCTCCCCAATCTCTGGTGAAATGTCATTGCCAAACTGCTGTAAGGTTGTAAGAAATCTCTTCAGTTTGCTGAGCTGCCTAGCTCCACAAGCTGGTGGCAACTGCTGGTTAGCCAGAGAAGAGGAAGAGGAAGAGGATGGCCCATTGCTAAAGCCATTAGGAGGAGATGGAGCTCCATTTAATGCTGTTGGTGAATGGCTAGTGCCATTGGTTACTGAAAGAAAAAGAGACAGAGGATAAAATAAAGATTGGGGTTGGGGAAGAGACAGAAAGAAAAAGGAGACAGAGGGGAAAATCCATCAGCTTATGTTTTCTGCACTTGACCTCAGAATTAATTAAGTTGCACAATCAAAGATAATTAGCCTTTAGACAGAGTGACAGTCTGCAGTTTATATCTATTTCCCAGTAGCTGGTGCTGAATGTTGTAAGGACTGGAAATAACAGCAGCAGCCTCTCACACAGCCCCTTTAAAATGCTCCTGGACCTGAAAAGCACCATTTGAATACCAGCCTTTTGTCAGAGGACTTTAAAAAGAGAGAGAAGGAAATGGAAAGAGAAAAAGCATGAGTGCATGTATGATTGAAGACCAAAAAAAAAAATTGCTCTTTGGGGTAGAAAAAAACATGCAGACATATTTCATGAAGCCTCAGTTTATCTCTGAATATTTTTACTTGTGTTTTGTACACACAACTGACAGCTGTGTTTATAAAACAGGACTTTCACATTTTAACCTTACACCACCCAATGAGAAGGTTATTTTTTCCAATACAGATTCCCTAGCTGCTAACATATGGAGCACACAAAGTTGTCTGTGCAGGTACAAATGCTGCCAATGCTCTGTATCATGAAGCCTTGCAGCAAGGGCAGCAAGCTAGACTTCAGAAGACTTCTCAGAGATCATGAGCAAATCTCTCTGCTTTCACGGGCCAGCACCTTATCTCTGAAAAGGATAAGAAAGCATTTCCCTCCTGTTGCAAGGTTGCTTTGAGAATAACTATCTACTACTGAAGTACTAAACATTCAAAATTTATGGCAATAAGATGCATGTAAACATACTCAAGACAACAGAGAGTTTTTGGCAGTGATTTCAGTTTGATTCTTATTCACTCTCTAGAAGAGAGCAGAGAATCAAACTGAGGACATCCTCTTCCACTCAGGTTAGCATGAACAGCAACACTCAAAACACACACCATTGAGGCTGAGTCTGATTTGCTAAAATGACAGCAAACAGCAAGAAAAAAGGTGGCTCCCCTAGAAGTACAAATGTACCAGTGCACTGGCAGGTGTGGGCATGCAGCATGTGACTGTACGCAGCAGCAGCTGCATTCAATGGGCCACAGCCCCAGAGAAATTTTATGGGTGGTTTTTTTTGGTTTTTTTTTTTTTTTTGGAATCATTCAGAACCCAATCAAAAAAATCAGGAAATCAGGAACTTGTCTACAATCAAAAATGCATAGGAGTATCAGTTTAACTTGTTTACTATCTAAAAACACAACCAGAGCAAGCTAGCAACTTCAAATACTTTCAATATTTCTCAATCACCAGCCTCTCTGAAGCCAAACATCCCATTCTCATCTCATCTTCTTCATGGACTGCCCTTATCTCTAGCCAGCAAGTCCTTTTTTCAGGTTGGACACATACTACTAGATATAAGTCCCTACCTATTACTATATTTAAATCACTGCCACAACCTTTGAAGGAATTTTTGTTGCCTTAGTCACTGCTTTCCAGAGGAATTACAGAAAACTCTATGTGAATTGTTATCTAGCCTCTGTTTGTGTTTTCTCCTAGTTTTTGATTGCCTATTCTGGCTGCATGGGCTAGTGAGAACAAGGATTGGAAAATGCAGAAATAGGAAGAAGCTGGCCTCAGCAAGTTCAGCTCCCTGTGAGGCTGCAGGCCACGCTCTGAGTGCTGCACTGGGGTGAGGTATCTGAGTAAACAAATATGCTGTGATTGCAAGGAATAGCAATAGCCAGAAGTCATCCTACCAGAAACTTAGAAAATGAGGACTGGGAAGAATAGCAACATGTCCTGCTGATCTACCCTGACACCACCCAATAACTGTCGCCCATAAAGAGCTGCTCTAGGCAGAGGGTGCTGCGGTTGATCAAGAAAGCAGAGAAGTGTGGAATTCATCACCTGGGATAGATACAGGGAGAAGAGAGGCTGATAAAGATTCCTCCCACAACAAAAGCAATAATTAAATAGCCCCGTGATTTCAGTGCTTTCCTTATAATATCTGAATTTGCCAACTGGCAAAGTTGTGCATAATTTCTAAAACAAAACCATGTTGCTAAGCCAAAAGAATTTAGCATTTAAAATTTCAAACTACAACACGTCAAGAATTTTTAATCATCTAAACCAAAGAAAACAAAGATATTCTAGACCAGAAAACAAGTCAGATCTTTCTGGCCCACAGGCATTCCCACTGTAGTAACAATAAATGCAACAGACACTCTGATAAAAGTGTCTGTTTATTCTGTCCAAGCTGGAACAGCTAAGGCCAACCTCCAAAATCTGACAGGGTGAAAAGTAATTAAAATCAGGGTTTTTTAGACTTTTAGTCTTCAAATAAGGAGCCCCAAAATCAAGCTGTGGTTCACACACCTTCTGAAGTGCTGAACTCAATCAAATAAACATCCAGAAGCTTTGTGAGGAGAAGGAGAATTAAAGAACATTGTCATATTCCTTTTATGATTGTCAAAGATCATCCTGAACTGCTGGCAGGGCATCACATTGGAAAGCTTAAGGTGCAAGAACCTGATCCTGCAAAAACCTAGAAGCAATTTAACTTCAGACTGAAGCAGCTCCAGTGTGAAGCTCCATCCAGGATGATTCAGGTGCTGTAGTTAAGCAAAACAGACAAATTTTTGCAGGATCAGGGTCACTGGGTTAAATGTGAGTTTATGTGAATAGCTGGCACAAACCCTCCTCACTGTTTAAGTTCAATATAAATTGTCAGGACAGGGTTCCCTGGGATAAGTAGTACAAAGGCCTCCAGCTGGCCATCTGCACAGAGGTGAATTTTAAATAAGGCATTTAACAGAGAGAAAGGGACTAAAACAGACTTAGGCAAGACAAATAGAAGATGCAGCCTTCATTCTGTTTAGGCATATGTATTCTACTGTTCTAAAGATGTTTTATTTAAAACGTGAAATGTAAACACATTCTCATGTTTATACTATTACAAGGCAGCATAAAAGAGACCCAAAAATTTGCAGCTAAATCTTACTATGAGAAATGTGGATCATTTCATGGCTGTGAAAAGAATAGTCCAGACAACGTGCCAGATTCAAATCTCAGTTACACTGATATGAATGCAGCATACATCAAGACTAGTAGAGTTTGTTATATGTTTACATCAATAAGCTGAGACAAAGATGCAGCCTTAAGTGATTTAGGGAAGTGGTAACAGACTAGAAATCTCTAAATAAAAATTTTGAAAGGACTTTAATTTTGGTTTTATATCAATATTAACTAGACATTATATAGCATTGAAAACAGAATTCTTCACTGAAACATAAGCAGACTGAAGATTAGTATTTTTTCATTATGAATTATCTCCACTTTAAAAACAAAGAACAAACAAACTCCCTGAAGTTTCTATACTAAAGGGAATGGGATCATTTAAACAACATAATGGCATGTAAGAGAAGAAGGTTTTCTGTCCTTCTCCCAAGAGGGCTAACCTGACCATTAAGTACATGGGAAGTCAGGGCTCACTGTTCTTTGACACTGTGACCAAGTGGTCAATGAAATAATAACACAACTCTGAGTTGAATGTCTTAATACCTTAAAGATGCATTAATCTGTTGTGAACTTTGTTTTGTTCAATTATTTTATACCACTACAATCAAATGTTGCTCCTGCCACTTCATGCACATTTCCCTTCACCTATTTTGGTTTCTGACATACAGAATAGAAATAAGATGGAAGAAAAGTAAGAAAATAAGACTAATTACACGTTGTGGGCGTAAATGAACTGGTTCTTGGAGCTCCTTGGGTAGTGGGAGGAGGTGGCATGGTTGGAGGCGTCAGCCTGGATTGTGTCTTCACATCCACAGGTGAGTCTGGCATTGTGGAATGCTTCTCAGTGCGATCTGCAACACACACCACAGGAACACACTGGTTTATTTCCCCGAGCACACCCCCTCTGACAAAAACTTAAAAGCTAATGCAAGAAGTGAGCCATTTCAGCATCTGCTGTGAAAGGTTGCACCTGATTATCTACTCCAGTGTGCTCTTCCCAAATTGTATCATCTAAACCTTACTTAAGGAGGTGCAACACAGATGGTAAGACCTCATTTGTAGCAGTGCTGCATTATCTTTTGTTTTTATTTCTAGCATGTGCAGATGCTACCTCCCAAGCACTCCTAGAGCTGCAACAACGCCACCTCCCTTCAAGGTTCACATGCTAGCCAGGAGGAAAAAACAGATGCAGGAACAGGAAGATAATAAATCCCCCTATGACATCTCTTCCAGAACTAAAACCTGAAGCTCTTTAATACAGGTGAGATATTGTGGGGAATATTGCCTGAAACAAGGTCTCTTCATGTCTCTTCTATGTATCACCTGCTGCCCTCTCCATTGCTTCTCCTTGTAATCCTATGTTAAACTTATGCTAAATACACACACCCCCTGGATCACCTTACCACAGTGCCCCTGGCTATTCTCATATTCACCAGAAAAATAAACACAACATGCCAAAATGGTATGTCAATCATCTCATATACATACAATTATTTTCAAATAAACATGGAAGTTTGCACCATCACATATTAAGAACAACTTTCAATGCTTAAAACCTGCAAGATAAGCAGGAACATACCTCCCCAAGAAAACAAAACAAACATAAGGCAAAACTAGGAAAAAACTTAACACTTCTCTTACAACTGAAGATCTAAATATACAACACACATGATGTAAAAGCTACAGAAGTGCACTTTTTCCCAACATCTTTTTGAATGACACTACCTTAAGTTGTTTTTTTAAACCATCCAAGCCCATATGTTTCATTTATTAAGAATGGGCAAAACACAGCAAAATTTACCAGCTGAAGGCAAAATTAAGGCTTTCTCACTCTTGCGAGGAGTTTAGCAAACCATCTTGAAAAAAGATGAGTACAATGATGCTTAGCTTCTAATGGGAATAAGTAAAATTCTTCAGTCCTTTCTTTGGGGAGTTGGGTCTATTTACTTATACACAGCCCAAGAGAAGTCTTCCTGAACTCCACAACACTATTCTGTAAATCAAGTAGGTGTTGCTGCTAATGGACAAGCATGTAAGTCTGTGGTTTTAATTCAAAGCATGTCACATTCTATAAATTCTGTCACTTCACTTTGTGACACAATTCCTTGTTCTTACTAACAACATACAAACTTCAATGAAATAATTATATCTGAAATTTGCTCTGAGAGACAATAACAGAAATTCAATGCAATGCACACATTTAACAAAGAACAGGTATGTTTAAAAGAGCCTCAAAACACTTAATTATCAGCAAATTTAAATACAAGAAAGTTGGGTTTTTTTTAAAAGGAAGGGGGAGGGAAAGGGAAAAATCAAATCAGCCCCCATACTCCCCAAAAAATTAACAACACATAACAGATACTAATCTTTCTCTGTCTGAAATTGCAGAAACTGAGGAAGTAAGTAGTAAGTCCCAGAGGTGCATCATGTCAGGTAGTGCAATTATAAAAGCCATCTTCAAGCTTTGTTGAAATGCCTACAGGCAATGTTTCAGCTCTCAGGGAAAGGGAGTAATTTCATGTAGAATTTAGAGACAAGTTTGGGGAAGATGAGCAGCGAAACATCCCCAAAATAAGATGAGGGGAATAGAGATAGAATTTTATAGGATCTGTAGTGTTGATCTAAGGTTAGTAAACCTCAGCTGTGGAGGGAAGAGTAACCACAATGATTATCTTAAATATTAAGATTGTTACACAGGTAAGTGAGGTATGATTTACAAATCAAGTAACAGTAAATTATTACATGCTGGAAAACAAAAACAGGTTTCTAAACAAATTCTATAAGTATTTCCTTTCTGTATCAGGATACTAAAACAGTTAAATCTCTATCTTCAATAAGCCATTAATTTATTATAAAGAACTATGAAAACTCATCTTGAAATGTTAATTGCTTCCTTAATAGCCGAATTCATCTTGCACTCACCTCAACCAACCTCAGCAACAAGGGAATAAATAGCTTTCAGCTCATGTTGCAACAGAGGGAAAGAGGCACAGCAGTGAGCCCAAGCCCTCCTAAATAAAGGCAAATATTTCTCCCATGCCAAGAAAGGAGAGAGAAAGGGAGGCTTGCCAGAGCTGGTGGGGAGATAACAGTGGGAACTGCTGGTCCATCTGGTTTTCATTCTGCTAACACTCACATTGAACTGTTAAGGAAGGCAGTCCAGGTACACAGATTTGAAGCATGTGGGAGCGCAGACACAGGCACAGAGGAGATGGAGGTGGGTGGAAGAAGGAGTGAGAGAAATCGAGCTCCTCTAACAGACTGCTGCTCGCTGCAAGCAGGCACAGCCTGTATCCTCCAATTCAGCTGGTGATAACTGAAGCGATCCTGAGCTGTAAGCAACCGCACGGCTCCTGCTCCCTCCCTTCTCTTCTCCGCATTTCTAAGTTCAAATTTGATCAGAAACGCGCTCAGATTAGAGGGGGGAGACTTTCCCACAAAGCTGGCAATGTTTTGCTACTTAAATTGAACATGGTAGTGGGAAATAGTGTGTTGGTTTTGCCCTCGAATTTCAGGTTGCCACTCTATCATGATCCAAATGGTTTTTACTACCTCCAACAGTTTGCCACCCAGTCTGCAGACTGCTGAACTTATCCACAGACTCCTGTACTTCTCATGTAAATCTAATAACATTAGGTTTGATTTTCCCAATTACCTTTCTTTGGACCTCTTAGACATAAACACAAACATGCTTTACATACCACTCACCTTTTCATTACCTCTCTTTCTCCCTTGCAAAGCCCTAAACCCTCCTCTCTCCCACTGTATGTTCACAGCAGGCAGATTTCCCTCTGACCGTACATTCCCTAGCCCTGACTTCTTTAAGGAGATATTAAGGCTCTTTCCAAGCACATCCCAAAACATCTCTTGCCACAGTACAAGATTATTTTGTCAGAACAGACATTCTCCACGGGGGCAGGGAAAAAGGGCTTTTGAAGAAGTACAATGCAAAATACAAAGCATTTCCACATGCTTGGAAGACACCATCACATCACACCACCCAGGAGAACAGCCTTTACAACTCCCTATTCCACCCTCTTTAATAACAAAGCCCCTGTGGGAGCCATTTTGCTCTTTCTACTACTGTTTTACCTGTTCACAGAGCTCCCTGAATTCTGAGGGAGTGATGGGACTGGGAGCACCTGAATACAGCATCCACCACTGCCCCACCACCCACAGCACCAGAGAACCTCAGCAGCTCTAAGACAGATCACTCAGGGGATGAAGTGGTGATGGAGAACCACAAATCAGAGCCACCACTGACAAAAGCGTTAACAGTTCTTGTGATCTGATCTTCCTAAAGCTTTCTGGTGTCTGACACTCAGCCTGAAACTCCAGCTTCTACAAATCCTTATTAATTTTTTAATTAATAAAAACAATAAGCCTAACAACCAACACTTTTTACTGTAATGGTTGACAAATAGTCTGATGATATGAAAGCTAAAGACATAATGGTATTTAAGGCATATTCACAAGCCAATTTTCTTCAAGACATGATATTTCATGAGGCTTTTAATGTATGGACATTCTTCATACAAACTCTCAGTGGACATTCTGCTATTCATACATTCAGAAGTAATGAGGATTTGGTAGGGGAAGAAAGAATCTCTCAAGAGGAGAAATTCTAATTTTAACATATCAAAACCTGCCTGGGTAAGATTTCATGTCCACGTACTCCAGTTCTACAATACAGAGGCACATACATTGAATTTTGTCTGAAATTCAGAAGAACTTTCAATATGTCTTAAAATAGCTCGATTTCTTGAATTCAAAAACATGTCTATGTTCTTGAGTCAAACCAGACTCCTCACTTGCAAAGCTAGTTTTGGCTATCTTTTTCTTCAGATGGACCTTGACATTTCAAACAATAATCCTGAATTAGGAAGGACACACCAGAAAGTTTCATACAGGCAGCATCCCACAGCATCCCATTTAAAAGCATAGCCTGTATATACAGAGGAAGTAAGTTCTTTCAGGTGCAACAATTTCTTCCACTGAATCCCTTTAAACAATGACAGACCTGTGCTCCTTAGCCCAGTTCAGATCAAATGGAACTGAAACCAGAAGTCCTCCAAACTGGAAGGAAAAGGAGACATCTGCAACTCATTCTGTAGTGCTCACTGCAATCAGTTCAGGATGGAGAAAGATGGTGAAATAATGGTCTAGTCCTAATCCATACACACAACCCTCTGGAGCAGCAAGAGACTTAGAATAAATTCAGAAAACATGTTTCAAGTATGCAGAGATCTATTGCATTTGCTTTGGATTATATTTTTATTTAAAAACAAACCCAAGCAAAACATTTTGAAATACACATTCTTGAATCTCCTTTACAGCACAGAGTGAAGAACTGTGATTTAACCACAGAAGTATTTTGCTTCATTTAAAATTAAAGAATGTTGTAAAACCAACTTTAAATTATGATATTTCTTCTGTGGATTCTGAACTATACTGTTCTTGCTGTTCATTCAGTTTTTATGGTAGAGGATTTTTTTATCACTATATTTAGTGTTAGGTGAACACTGATATTTACTGTAAGCACAGTCAGCTTCTGAACCAAACAAGGAAGAGACAAGGCATGCAGGAGCTGGAGCAAAGAGAGATGTGCCTGCATTCAAACTGATTTACTTTACTTCCTGTACCCTACAAGATTTAGTCCATTTTTAAAACAAGGCGGTCTTTCATAAATGGCAACATTTCAGCTCACATGGCACACCTCCAAGTCTAATGCATCAAGGAAAGCTGATGTATGGAACAAAATATGGAATATATAAATACTTTACTGATACCATTTCAATAGCCAATTCAATGTCAAGCATTTCTAGGAGTGGTGTGTTTTCAATTTCCTTTT